TAGTTCCTGAAAGCCTGTTTGTTAAAACAGATCCTGGCGTCTCCACTTTCTCTCTTGTATCTTCTTTCACTGTATCATCTCTGCACAACTAGCACCTTTTCCCATTCCAGCATGAGTGGAAGCATCCTGAAGCCATCATCATAAGCAGATGCTAGTGCTGTGCTTCTTGTACAGCCCCTGGAAGGGTAAGCCAAATAAACTTCTCTATAAATTACTCAGCCTCAGGTAATTCATAGTATTGTTGAACAGACTAAGACAGGGAATTACTAATTTTCTCCACATTTATCTGAATTATAGCTTATGCTCTTAAGAAATATACTGTAGTGACTTGCTTTTAAAATCACGGGCATATGTGAGAATGAGCAGAAAACTGAATGTAAAGAGCAAATAGAAGGCCTCCCGAAACTTATGATCCTGTGGCATGTGTAAGGGAAGTCACATGTTAGGCCTCCTCCAATATGTGAGTTTTTTTCTACCTAAGTGAAATATTTCATCCATTGAGGAGTGGGCATTGGGGAGAATGGATAGGTGCACATGAGAGCTCATTTCTGAATCCTAATTCCTCATTAAATCCATGGAACAAGGGCAACTCTGTTCAACTTCCTACTTTACGTCTGAGAGCAAGCACCTCATTTTGTACTCATCATGCAGCTGCAAGAATAAGACATCAATGGAAAAATGTTTTAAGTTATAAAAGTAAAAAGAACCACCATCTGTTTTAAAAGAGAATAATAAAGCAGGATGTAGGGGAGAGGTGAGATTTTGGAGTTAAGTAATTTTTGTTGTAATTTCAATTTTCTAATCTATCAATGGATATAATAGCAAAAATACTCATATCACAACACTGAGGTAATAGATAAAAACATAATATCTTATATATAATTGCGTAGTAAAAAGGCATATGATTATTATACATCTTCTACTACTTTTTCTCCTCTTCTTTTAAACAATTTAGGTGAACATTTTAGTTAACTAAAGAAGTGAAATATATCATATCATGGGGTCAAAACAGGCAATAGATAATCCTAAACCCTCAATTCCATGACTTCCTCTTCTACTTAAAACATGTTTTCTCATCTGAAATCCAGGTCCTAGTATTTCTTAAGGCTCAGTTCAAATAGCATCACTTCTGCTTTCCCTCCTATTCCTCTCTCTCAGTCAAAATTATCTATCCATCTCTGATTTCTCTTAGAATTTTAACTACACCTTTCTTATAGGACTTAACATATTTTATGTATCTATCCTACTGTCATATCTGGGTAATTTTTCTGAATTATCTATATTCTGAGTAGTAGCTCATTAAACATTAGATTGATAAGTGATGAACAGAGCCACCTATTTATTAATTTAGCATTTTGGAATTTTCATTGCCTATCATATCTATTATCCCATTTGGTTCTCATATAAATTGTGAAAAGATATGTGATTGAAGTAATGCAATTCCTGATTTGGATTAGTAACACATAGAAAGATTAAGCAATGTTAAGCAATGTGTCAAAATTAACAAAGCAAAGGAGTTATAGACCTTGTATTAAAATTTTGACTTCTCAGATTCTTTTTCCAATGCATGTTCCATCATCATGTTTTTGGAGAAATGCTTCAAACACACAGAAAGTTTAAAACATTAAATTAAAGAAAACCATTTGTGTTTGAATCACTTTTTAATGTAGCCATTCCTTCTGCCAATATATATAAATACGCTTGTGGGAAGTAGCTATCTTTAAAAACATCTAGTAGTTATTAGCATTGCAAAATTATGGCCCTATAGAAACTGATCCTTTAAACTAGTTATTATAACATCTCTATTCTCTATTATTTGAATCAAACATATTTAAAACATCAGACCAACCAACAAAGAAGCAGTGTTTTTAAAATCCTGTGAAACCTAACTGACATTAATGAGAAATTACAATTTTAAATGCATTACCCTTGTAAGATAAATCAAAAGTAACAGTAATTAGGATAATTGCAAAAGGTATTTTGGGTTCTGTGTATTTGCGCAAGTGTTGAGAGGTGGAATATAAATGTGAAAGTATTTTTGTTCACTTTGGTATCTTAAACTTAAAATAATTTTTAGATCGTACATTTTTTCATACTCAGTTGAAATCTGAAATTTGATGATTCAATTTTAAATCCTCGTATGCACACAAATTCTCCAATATTACAACATAAAATACTCATTAAAGAGAGGTTTGTTTTTGTTGTTGACCTTCTAGAAAATAGGCAGTTTACTACATTTTTTTTAAAGTCTTTGTTTTGATTAAGAAAATTTTTCTCATTCCTAATATGCAATAAACGTATGTTCTTTATTTCTTTCTGATATGTCCTGATAATAAAAGTCATCAAGTTATCACAAAATTCCCAAATATTGTATGTTATTTTGTTGGAGAAATTTAAGCATGAATGTTTACTGGAGATAAACAATTAGCATAGTTAAAAGTGATTCCCACAAGCTATCCATAAAAGGTGAAGGGGCCATTTAGATGTAATGTGCTCATATGAACATTCTTGGTAATGGCTCTTTAATATCAGTGGTGAATGGCACATCCACCTTGGTAAATTAAATGTTAATGATAGCCACTTAAATTCTAATTGATTCTGACTCCTTTAGAATTGCTTATATGTTTTTAATAAGTATTTTGGCAGTTTTATGTATCCCAGAGTTCAGCAGTTTTTTAAAAAATATATTAAACCTGTGGTTTATTTGTTTTACATTAAAAAATGACTCTTTTATAGTTTTTTTTCTTGGCTAATGAGCTAGTTACTAGAATGTCTTAAAAGGGCAGAAGAAGGCATATGGAGAGAGAGAACGGAAAAGAAAGATTTTGCTAATCATAGATCCACAGTAGATGACCAGAGGAGTTTTCTCAAAGTGACATAGTTTCAGGAAATGTCCCTGAATTCTATATCCTGGCCAAGCTGGAATCACATCCTAATTATCCATCCTTATTGCCACAGTGTTTTCATTAACTAGATCTGGGTTATACGTTTACCTTTGAGCCAGAGCACAGGGTCCTTATTATAAATGAACAATGTGGAAGGCAATGTGATTTTCCAAAAATCAAGAATAGGTTCTGTTATCCAAAAAATAGGTGATTTATGAAAGATTGAAGGATGTAATGTATGTGAACACTTGCTGCCATTCCTGGCCACTATAAATCCTCAATTACCATGTACCTATCATTCTTTCCTTAGTAATGATAGTAAATAATTTAATTGCTTTACCATTAGCTTTTTAAGAAACTTTTTGGTTTGATTTTTTTGAGTGGGAGACAGTATGCATTAATCTGGCCCACTCCTCAAGACGAGGAAAACCAATAGAATTGTTGCTGTCCACCATCATTTAAATGGCCAAAAGTAAAAAGACAAGTCCTATGAGTTTTTTTCTGAAATCACTGTTGAGGGGAATAATGTTTAAATTCTGAGTTTTCATTTAATCTTTGGCCTTATCAAATGATCTAACAGACTTTTCTGTCTCAATGCTATCTAAGGAAATTGTATTTCTATCCCTTCCATTCTTAGTCTTTATGGCTTCTCCGTTAAACTCACTTTCTTTTTTTTTCTTTTTTTTTTCTACCAGGGAGAGACATTGAAACCAAAACAAACTTTTTTATAGATTTGATTGTTCACATTGGACAATGGGTGACAAAAAGATATTTCACTCTTCTTTATATAGCCACTAATATCCCCAAAAGGTCCTGAGGACATTGAAGCTCCCCTAACGGGAAAGGTTATTTTCTTAATAATCTGTATTTCCTCAACTTGCTCCAGTGCGTGTAACTAATAAGTGTGCAATCCAGACTCCAGCTGTGCCAAAGTAGAACACTGTATGTAATGAGCTCTGTTATTTTTCCCCATGCAATTTAATAGCCCAGTAACTTTAATACCAAAAAAATGTTTCTGAGACAAATCAAAATGTGGTTCTAATTCTATTGTTTTCTTTTGGCAGCATTGATTTCTTTCGCTTTTAACTCTGTAGTATAATCTGCTTGCTATCAACAAATACAAGGCCTCATTGTTCATTTGTGGAGGCATCAATCTTAACATCCTAAAACAGCGCAAAGTATTGTACTTGTAGGCTGAACCCTCCCAGAGAGTTACAGAAACTCAATTTTGCTATCTTATTTGAATAATCATGAAATATGCCCAACTTTATTAACCTCTCCAAAGGATGAGAATCAAGTAAATCGGTAAAATAAATAAACCTGAAATGGTGTCATTGCTGCTGCATTGAATAATATAGTGTTAGGCAGTACTTCATCATTTTTAGATATTAATATTACAACAGTGTTCCATGAATAAGACCTATATTTGCTGAGTTTTCCAGCTAAAATAACACCTTTGTTCAAGTTACAAAAAAGTTACTTAGGGTTCGATCCAAGATGGCCGTTTAGGAACAGCTCAGGATTGCAGCTCCCAGTGAAAGCGCAGAGGGTGAGTGGACGCCGCGTTTTTATTGCCCACAGACTAGGAAATTCCCAGGCAGAGGAGCTCCACGGTCGCCGGCCGGCGCCGCTTCTTTGCCTGGAGCGGCTGCTTTGTCGGTGCCCCGGAGCAGTGGTTCTCTGGTTCTCTGTACAAAATACACCGGTCCGGGTGCCCTTTTGGCTGGCGATTGGAGCCACAGAAAGTCGCCCATTCTTCTGTTTAAAAAGGGGACTGAGCAGAGAACCAGGACAGTAGATTCCAGGGCAAAAAAAAAAGCGCCACAAACCTCAGTGCCGCTGTTTAAGCCAGAGCAGTGAGTGGCTGCAGGGGAAAACAAACAGACCCTGGTGCCTCTTCAACAGGCCACTGGAACACCAACTTAAAAAAGGCTCTGAGGCAGGGAGCCAGGCGATCAGGCTCGGCTGGTCCCACCCCCGCAAAAGAACAGCAACCAGAAACTCTGGATTGAGACTTTCACAGCAAGCGCAGCTGAACCAGGACGGTCCAGCTCTGTGGGGGAGGGGCGTCCGCCATTGCTGAGGCAGCCCGCCGTTGCCAAGGCAACCCGCCACAGCAGAAAAACTCTGCCTAAACAGAGGCGGTCCACCATCGCCAAAGCAGTTCTAACTACACCCATATAAACAGAACTACAGGGAAGTTCACTCGGCAGCGGGGCGGAGCCCACAGCAGCTCAGCAAAGCCTCTATAGGCCGACAGTGACTAGGCTGCCCCCTTGCTGGGCAGGGCAGGTCTGAAGGAAAAAAAAAAAAAGAAGGCGGCAGCATAACAGAAACTCATAAATAAAGCCCTAAATCCGTGGGACAGAGCACCTGGGAACAAAAAGCAGTTTATGAGTTCTGCTGCAGCAGACCTAAATGTACCTGCCCAGCAGCTCTGAATGAACAACAACAGAGCTCACAGCTCACCATTTGAGCTCCTATAAAGAAGAGACCGTATCCTCAAGCAGCTCCCTGACCCCTATATATCCAAAGAGACACCTTATAACGGAGAGATCAGATTGACCCTAGGCGGGTATCCTTCTGGGACAAAGATAGCAGAAGAAGAAAACTGGTAACAACCCTTACTGTTCAGCAGCTGCTGCAGGTGAACCCCAGGCAAGCAGGGCCTGGAGTGAACCTCAGCAGACCTACAGCAGAGGGGCCAGACTGTCAGAAGGAAAACCAAGAAACAGAAATAACCTCATCATCAACAAACAGAACGTCAATCTGAAAGATTTGAGACCCAATCTGAAAGCCAGCAACTACAAAGTCGACAGGTGGATAAATCCTTAAATATGGGAAGAAACCAGTGCAAAAAGGATGAAAACACCCAAAACCAGAACACCTCTCCTCCTACAAGGGATCACAACTCCTCACCAGCAAGGGAACAAGGTTGGAGGGAGAACGAGTGTGATGAAATGACAGAATCAGACTTCAGAAGGTGGATAGTAAGAAGCTTCTGTGAACTTAAAGAACATGTTCTAACCGAATGCAAAGAAACTAAGAACCTTGAAAAAAGATTTGACGAAATGCTAACGAGAATGGACAAAATAGAAAGGAATATAAGTGAATTGATGGAGCTGAAAAACGCAACACGAGAACTTCGTGAAGCATGCACAAGTATCAACAGCCGAATTGACCAAGCAGAAGAAAGGATATCAGAGGTCGAAGATCAACTCAATGAAATAAAACAGGAAGGCAAGACTGGAGAAAAAAGGGTAAAAAGGAATGAACAAAGTCTCCAAGAAATGTGGGACTATGTGAAAAGACCTAATCTACGTTTGATAGGCATACTTGAATGCGGCGAAGAGAATGAATCCAAGCTGGAAAATACTCTTCAAGATATTATCCAGGAAAACTTCCCCAACCTAGCAAGGCAGGAAAACATTCAAGTCCAGGAAATACAGAGAACACCACAAAGATATTCGTCAAGAAGAGCAACCCCAAGTCACATAATCGTCAGATTCACCAGGGTTGAAATGAAGGAGAAAATACTAAGGGCAGCCAGAGAGAAAGGTCGGGTTACCCATAAAGGGAAGCCCATCAGACTCACAGCAGATCTCTCAGCAGAAGCCCTACAAGCCAGAAGAGAGTGGGGGCCAAGATTCAACATCCTTAAATAAAAGAACTTTCAACCCAGAATCTCCTATCCAGCCAAACTAAGCTTCATAAGTGAAAGAAAAATAAAATCCTTTGGGAACATGCAAGTACTCAGAGATTTCATCACCACCAGGCCAGCTCTACAAGAGCTCCTGAAAGAGGCTCTATACATATAAAGGAACAACAAGTACCAGCTCAACTAAAGGGCAAAACACCCAGCTAGCACGAAAATGGCAGTATCAAATTCGCAGATAACAATATTAACCCTAAATGTAAATGGACTAAATGCCACAATCAAAAGACACAGACTGGTAAATTGGATAAAAAGCCAAAACCCATCGGTGTGCTGTATCCAGGAAACCCATCTCACATACGAGGATACACAAAGGCTCAAAATAAAGGGATGGTGGAAGATTTACCAAGCAAATGGAGAGCAAAAAAAAAGCAGGAGTTGCAATTCTCATCTCGGATAAATTAGACTTTAAAGCAACAAAGATCATAAGAGACAAAGAGGGACATTACATAATGGTAAAAGGATCAATGCAACAAGAAGAGCTAACAACCCTAAATATATACAAACCCAATACAGGAGCACCCAGATACATAAGGCAAGTTCTTAATGACTTACAAAGAGACTTAGACTCCCACACAATAATAGTGGGAGACTTTAACACCCCATTGTCAACATTAGACAGATCAACCAGACAGAAAATTAACAAGGATATCCAGGACTTGAACTCAGACCTGGACCAAGCAAACCTAATAGACATTTACAGAACTCTCCACCCCAAATCCACAGAACATACATTCTTCTCAGCACCACATCACACCTACTCTAAAATTGACCACATAATTGGGAGTAAATCCCTCCTCAGCAAATGCAAAAGAACGGAAATCATAACAAACAGTCTCTCAGACCACAGTGCAATCAAGTTAGAACTCAGAATTCAAAAACTAACCCAGAACCACACAGCTTCATGGAAACTGAACAACTTGCTCTTGAATGTTGACTGGATAAACAATGAAATGAAGACAGAAATAAAGATGTTCTTCGAAACCAACGAGAATGAAGACACAACATACCAGAATCTCCGGGACACATTTAAAGCAGTCTCTAGAGGAAAATATATAGCAATAAGTGCCCACATGAGAAGCAAGGAGAGATAAAAAATTGACACCCTATCATCAAAATTGAAAGAGCTAGAGGAGCAAGATCAAAAAACTCAAAGTCTAGCAGAAGACAAGAAATAGCTAAGATCAGAGCAGAACTGAAGGAGATAGAGACACAAAAAACCCTTCAAAAAATCAATAAATCCAGGAGCTGGTTTTTTGAAAAGAACAACAAAATAGACAGACCACTAGCCAGATTAATAAAAAAGAAAAGAGAGAATAACCAAATTGATGCAATAAAAAATGACAAAGGGGATATCACCACAGATTCCACAGAAATTCAAACCATCATCTGAGATTATTACAAACAACTCTATGCACACAAACTAATAAACCTGGAAGAAATGGATAAATTCCTGGACACTTGCCTCCTCCCAAGCCTAAACCAGGAAGAAGCTGAAACCCTGAACAGACCCATAACAAGGTCTGAAGTTGAGGCAGCAATTAAGAGCTTATCACCCAAAAAAAGCCCAGGTCTAGATGGGTTGACAGCTGAGTTCTACCAGACATACAAAGAGGAGCTGGTACCATTCCTTCTGCAACTATTCCAAACAATACAAAAAGAGGGAATTCTTCCCAAATCATTTTATGAGAGCAATATCATCCTGATATCAAAACCCGTCAGAGACTCCACAAGAAAAGAAAACTTCAGACTAATATCCATGATGAACATAGACGCAAAAATCTTCAATAAAATACTGGCAAGCCGCTTGCAACGGCACATCAAAAAGCTTATCAACCATGATCAAGTAGGCTTCATCCCAGGGATGCAAGGCTGGTTCAACATACGCAAACCTATAAACGTAATTCACCACATAAACAGAACCAAAGACAAAAACCACATGATTATCTCAATTGATGCAGAGAAGGCCTTTGACAAAATTCAACAGCCCTTTATGCTAAAAACCCTCAATAAGCTAGGTATTGATGGAACGTATCTCAAAATAATAAAAGCTATTTATGACAAACCAACAGCCAATATCATACTGAATGGGCAAAAACTGGAAGCATTCCCCTTGAAATGTGGCACCAGACAAGGATGCCCTCTCTCACTACTGCTATTCAATATAGTATTAGAAGTTCTAGCCAGAGCAATCAGTCAAGAAAAAGAAATAAAGGGCATTCCAATAGGAAAAGAGGAAGTCAAATTGCTTCTATTTGCAGACGACATGATTGTATATCTAGAAGACCCCATCGTCTTAGCCCCAAACCTCCTGAAACTGATAAGCAAGTTCAGCAAAGTCTCATGATACAAAATCAATGTGCAAAAGTCACATGTATTCCTATACACCAATAACAGACTTAAAAAGAGGCAAATCAAGAACCAATTTCCATTCACAATTGCCACAAAGAGAATAAAATACCTAGAAATACAGCTAACAAGGAACGTAAAAGACCTCTTCAAGGAGAACTACAAGCCACTGCTCAACGAAATAAGAGAGGACACAAACAGATGGAGAGACATATAAGCTCATGGTTAGGAAGAACATATATCGTGAAAATGGCCATACTGCCCAAAGTAATTTACAGATTCAATGCTATCCCCATCAAGCTACCAATGACCTTCTTCACAGAACTGGAAAAAACTACCTTAAACTTCATATGGAACCAAAAGAGAGCCCGCATAGCCAAGTCAATTCTAAGCAAAAGGAACAAAGTGGGGGGCATCACACTACCAGACTTCAAACTATACTACAAGGCTACAGTAATCAAAACAGCATGGTACTGGTACCAAAACAGAGATATAGACCAATGGAACAGAACAGAGGTCTCGGAGGCAACACAACATATCTACAACCATCTGATCTTTGACAAACCAGACAAAAACAAGCAATGGGGAAAGGATTCCCTGTTCAATAAATGGTGTTGGGAAAGCTGGCTAGCCATGTGCAGAAAGCAGAAACTGGACCCCTTCCTGACACCTTACACTAAAATTAACTCCAGATGGATTAAAGTCTTAAACATAAGACCTAACACCATAAAAACCCTAGAAGAAAATCTAGGCAGAACGATTCAGGACATAGGTGTAGGCAAGGACTTCATGACCAAAACACCAAAAGCATTGACAACAAAAGCCAAAATAGACAAATGGGACCTAACCAAACTGCACAGCTTCTGCACAGCAAAAGAAACAGTCATTAGAGTGAAATGGCAACCAACAGAATGGGAAAAAATTTTTGCAGTTTACTCATCTGACAAAGGGCTGATATCCAAAATTTACAAAGAACTAAAACAGATTTACAAGAAAAAAACAAACAAGCCCATTCAAAAGTGGGCAAAGGATATGAACAGACACTTTACAAAAGAAGATATACATGAGGCCCACAAACATATGAAAAAATGCTCATTATCACTGGTCATCAGAGAAATGCAAGTCAAAACAACATTGAGATATCATCTCACGCCAGTTAGAATGGTGATCATTAAAAAATCTGGAGACAACAGATGCTGGAGAGGATGTGGAGAAATAGGAACACTTTTGCACTGTTGGTGGGAGTGTAAATTAGTTCAACCATTGTGGAAGACAGTGTGGCGATTCCTCAAGGACCTAGAAATAGAAATTCCATTTGAGCCAGCAATATCAAAGGATTACAAATCGTTCTACTATAAGGACACGTGCACATGAATGTTCATTGCAGCACTGTTTACAATAGCAAAGACCTGGAAACAACCCAAATGCCCATCGACGGTAGACTGGATAGGGAAAATGTGGCACATATACACCATGGAATATTATGCAGCCATCAAAAACGATGAGTTTGGGTCCTTTGTAGGGACATGGATGAACCTGGAAACCATCATTCTCAGCAAACTGACAGAAGAGCAGAAGATCAAACACCGCATGTTCTCACTCATAGGCGGGTGTTGAACAATGAGAACACATGGACACAGGGAGGGGAGCACTACACACTGGGGTCATTTAGGGGGAAATAGGGGAGGGACGTTGGGGGCTTGGGAGCTGGGGAGAGATAGCAAGGGGAGAAATGCCAGATGTAGGTGATGGGGAGGAAGGCAGCAAATCACACTGCCAAGTGTGTACCTGTGCAACAATTTTGCATATTCTTCACATGTACCCCAAAACCTAAAATGCAATAACATAAATAAATGGGGAAAAAAAAGTTACTTAACATAAACAAAATCTACTTGCTGCAGAAAAAACTAAGGTTATTTAGTGATAAGTGCCAAGGTTATTTGGCTTAGATAATTTCGAGTCTGGTTTTGTAAAATGAGCTGCATTTGTGAATATTTAATTTTCTGAACTTTGATCTATAATAGGCACTTACATGTTTATGGATACACTTTAAATTTTAATAAGGCTCAATTGCAAAAACAGCTATGGTCCATTTGCTGCAAAGGCCTT